AACTCATCAATTTATTGGTAGTATAAGAGAATGTATGTTGAGCGAAGCACTAAAATTTCCAGATTCGATTAAAAAACAATAGAAGTCTAAGAATAACCAAAACTCTTCAATTAAGTAAGAATAGCAGCTCAGTTAGACCATCAACTTGAAATGGAAGCCAGTAGAATAAAATATATATATTATGATTATTTAAAGTTATTTTTGATTTTTTATAAGAGTGTGAAATAATTAGATCTAAATAACCTAAATTTATAAAAATAAAATAATAATATCAACAAATAATAATATCAATAATTTTTATTTTGATGAAAGATAATATAAACAGACAAAACAGATAAGTATAGGATAGCAACGCAAAAGGAAGCCAAATATTAACAAAAAGACAAGATAGTTAACAAATGTTGACCAAATAATAACCAAATAGTAACCAATTTTGACCAAGCAATTTCTTACAAAGAAGATTAATTACGTAAATGGAAAAAGGTGGCAATTTACAAAATGTTTACTTTTAGCAAAATTATATGACTTTTAACACTAATAAATAACTGTAGTCTGAACAGTAGAAGAAAATAAACAAAAAGATTTTTACTGCAATCTTAACAAACAGATATGAAAGAAAATTATAAGATTGACGCAAATTAATGCAAAGTTCATTTTTAATACTAAGCAGATAAACTTACGTAAAAATTTTATGTAGAAAATTAACAAATAAATTATAAGATAAATTAGACAATGAAGACAACTATATATATATATATTAGGAATATGGCAAGATTGTATTCATCCAAAAATTTCCCTCAAAGGAGTATGTACAAATTAGACTTGGGTATCCCTAGGGAAAAATAATCTTCCTCTCACTGTACTAGCTGTTGTAATCTATAATCATGAATTACAATTTGAATTATTTCCTCTCTTTCTTTTCTAGTGCCAAAAAACTATCTACTGTTTCTCGCACACTATATAAAATAGATAGTAACTGCAAAGAGAATTCTAAGCTGCTTCACTGTGGTATTTCTTCCTCTAAATCTTCTTTATAATTGCTTCCAATCCCAACTTCTTTGCCCAGCACACCGGCTCAAGCTTGTTTGTAGTAAAACTTCATTCCTGATATGTCTTAATGACCTCCACTGAAAGAATAAAATGTTGGACATCCTCCACTCCATCCTCACGAAACATGCAACTCCTATTGGCATGCCTCAATTATATAGCAGCATTCCCCTATTGTGGTCAATCGGTGGTCACTATAGCTTAAAGGGTTGTCGGTGAATTGCACCCAATCAGTGGTCGAACATTGTTAAAGAACAAGATAGTAACTTTTAACTCTTAATTTGTAACCATTGTCCTGTCAAAAAGGACATATATATATATATATATATATATAGCAAAGTTTTTATTTTTAGCCTTTGTTTCCCCAACAGCCGCAATATAAAACTTTGATGTGGTAGAATAAATTTAGCCCAAATAATAGAACACCATTCTACTTTACTCTTTCTTGCTCGGAACAATTTATAACAATTTTATATAGAAAAAATATCAGGTTTTATCATTTGCTCTAATCCAAACTACACAATCTTGGCACCATTGAAGTTGTATCATTAATGTCATATGAATTATTTAAATTATATATATAATTATTTAAATAAAAATTAATTATTATTTTTTAATATTAATTAATATAAAAAATATAATAATTACACTTAATTTGTATTATAAGGGCACATATTACAAAAAAAAATTTATTCATTTGAAAACTTTTAGAAACCGAAGCAGTATCCTCTCATCTCAGAGCAAAAAAACCACTAATATGAAGATTTAGATAAAAAAAAAACTATTAATAATTTTAAAAAAATATTGCATAATTCAAATTGTATTAAATTATATATTTTAAACTATAAATGAGAGAGCAAAAGATGTAAATTCCTTTAAAATTATTGTGTTAAAGCAAATTGTCACCTAAAAGCCATGTTAATGCAATTTGCTACATTAAAATTTTAAATTTAAAAAAAAATAATTTAACAAAGTTTAATAAAAACTAATCATTAAATTTGGACTAATTTTTTAAAAATAAAAATTTTAAATACTAAATTACATCAATAATTTTTTAATTAATAATTTAATTTAACGTGATAATTTTAAATAACAATTTTCATATGTGGCTTAAACGAGAGACATAACTACTGATGTTATATCTGTTTCTTATCCATTTGTCCCTGTTTTGCAGGTTTAATTCCAAACTCAAAAACTGAAGTACTTCAATGATTTTGCAAGCTGAATGATTTTTGGGTTTTTTTGTCCAGACGTAAGTTACCTCATTGTCACGGCGTAGTGTTGTTTAATCCGTCACCTTTTCCACCGCCATCCTTGATTTTAGTCTTTTTATTTTAATAAATTTATAAATTTTA